CCCCATGCTCTACCTACAGACTCCCAGGCGGCGACGTGATGTGGTTGGGGACACAGGAGAGATGGCCTGAGTTGTGGGCTCTCAGAGGGCTGGTCACCTGCCTCCATTGCTTCTCTCCTGATGTTTGTTCAGACCGGTGGGCCCAGTACCCACCCCAAACTGGCACAGCCCAGCTGCGGGGGGACATAGGTGTCGGTGGCTCGCCCAGTGCAGATCCAGCAGGGCTCAGCCTAGCAGGGCGTGGAGGGGCTGTTGGGGGTGCCGTGGCCGTCTCCACCCTGGTGTTGGGGGTCCGGGCGAGGTGCTGTGTTATATGGTTGGCAGCCTCCATGCCCGGGCAGCTTTGGGAGCTCACGGGGCCTGAAGGCTCGCCCACCGGGCAGCCTGCCCTCCTGGCTGCCCAGCAGAAGGGCCCGAACAGGCGGCAGCTTCTGGGTGCAGCTCGCACCCGGCCACACCCGGCCACGCCTTGTTAGGGGCCTGGCCTCTGCGCCATCTCCCCAGCTGGGCCTTGAAGGGAACCCCTGGGCCCTGATCCTGGACTCTGACCCCTGTGCTGGGCCGACCTCCGTCTGGCCCTATGTAACTAGCTAGGAATTCCCGGAAAATTCCCGATGTTCGCCTTGGCAGGCCCGGATGAAGTTTGCATTCCAGCGGTCCCGAGGGGATTCCGGCCACGCCGTTCCCGTGGGACCGTGGCCCCCCGCGCCCTGAGCCTGCCTTGGGGTCTTCTAGAGACCCTCCCAAAGAGCCACAGAGATGAGTGCCGGAGCCACTGGGGGCCTTGGAGGCTGAGAGGGCGGGAGACAGCCCCTTCCGGACCTGGGGTGGGTGGCCGGGCCGGGGCTGGAGGCGGGGGCGCTTGGGCGCCCCACAGGCGCAGGCGGCCACCTAGGAAGCAAGCAGCAGCCTGCCTGTGGGCAGCCTCAGTCTCATAGGCCCCGGCCTAGGGGCAGCTGTGGGGGGCGCGATGCACCCAGCCCCGGGGAGCCCTTCAACCCCGCCTGGCCAGATGCCCAGCCCCAGGGGCCACGCCTACGTTCCTGCGCCCATAAGGCAGGACGCAGGAAGGGGAGCTGTTTGGGGTCTCCCGTCCTGCTTGACCCTCCGTGCCAGCCCACGTTGGGGCAGCTGCGAGGGTGACGGTGGGCCTTGTCCTGCCTCAGCACTGGGCGAAGCCTGGCGTCCCTGCAAACTGACAGCTGGACTCACACAGGGCCGCTCCTGTGCTAACAAGGGGCACTCGAATGCTGCGGGGTGGCCGCTTGTCCTGGGTGCGTGAGGGGCCCGGTGGCAGCATGGCTCTGCTGCCGCCAGGTTTGCGCATGATTGTCCCCCTCGTGGGGCCTGTCTGGAGGGGCGGGGCTTGCCTGTCTCTGCCGGGCGATGTCCTCTTGTGGCGGGGGCGCGGGGGTGTCCGAGGCCTAGAGTGGCCGTGGCTGCAAGGTCCCCTTAGGGTGGCTCACGGCTTCTCCTCCTTGCAGATGTGGATGAGTGCGCCACTGGCAACGGGGGCTGCGAGGGCCAGTGCTGCAACAGCGTGGGGGGCTTCCATTGCCGCTGCCCCCCCGGCCGCCAGCTGCAGGGAGACGGCAGGACCTGCAGAGGTAGGTCTTGGGCCCGGCCACCACCCTGCCTACCACAGCCACTGCCCACAGCCACTGCCCACAGCCACTGCCCACAGCCTCTGCCCACAGCCACTGCCCACAGCCTCTGCCCACAGCCACTGCCCACAGCCACTGCCCACAGCCACCACCTTGCCTGGTTGGTCCTGGAGGCCACCTCTTCGCCCCCACCCTGGGTTCCTCTGAGGGGGACCACTCAGGGTCCTGGGTCATGCTCAGTCCTCGGGGTCCTCCCTGCCTGACCCACCCCCCACACTCGTAGGGGTCTACGTGTCTCTCCTGAAATGAGGTTGGGAAACTCAGAAACCTGATGTGGGTGGGAGCACCCGGGGGGCTGTGCAGGGGTGGGTGGCTGCTCTGTCCCTGGGGAGATGCAGGTGGAGAAGGTGGGTGGGCGGCCAGCTGGCCAAGCGCAGGCCCTGTGAGGGAGGGAGGGTGGCTGTGTGCCGGGCATGCATGAGGGCACCGGTGGGCACCGTGCCCCGGTGAGGGCTCACTGAGGCCCTGGCAGGGGTCTGGAAGCGTTCACCAGCTCCGGGCACACCCTGTACCCAGCTCTGCACCCAGCCCTGCCATCTCTGGTGGGCTGTCAGCAAATCAAGAACAGACAGAAAGAGAGGGAGGGAGAGAGAGGTTAAGGCTGAGGTGGGAAGAGGGTGGGGTGGCGAGGTGGGGAGGTGGGGTCTCCCACGCACCCCCCTTCACCTGCTCCAGCCCCTGCCTGGCCTGACCACCGGAGGGCTGGGTTCCGTCCTGCGGGCATCTGCTTTCCCTCAGACAGCCTCTGTCATCCCCTCTCCCAGCGCTTCCTTTCCCGAAAAAGCACTGTCTCCAGCTGCCGGCACCAGCTGTGAGCCGTCTGTGAGGTCGGGCAGGGGGAGCCTGCAGGAACTGGTCTGGGGTCCCGGAGGGCAGCCTGCTCTATAGGGCCTGGGGTCTGAGGGGCAGCCTGCTGGATTGGGGCTGGGTCTGGGGCTGGGGGCTGCCCACTGGCTGGGGTCCAGGGCTGGGGGGCTGCCTGCTGGACGGGGTTTGGGTTCTGGGAGACAGCCTGCTGGACCGTCCGGGGACCTGGGGGCTCCCTGTCCAAGCTGCTCCGCAAACTCTGTTTGCAGGCTCGAGGTCTCAGTGGCAACAGGAGGTGTGGGGGGTGGGGACAGCAGAGAGGCCCCCGTGACCCCTTGTTTATGCCCAGGACCTGGGGACCCTGTGCCGCTGGGG